TATAAGGAATGACATTAAAAAAGGCAACGAGTATTCAAGCTACGGTGCATCATCTTAAAAGTCATTGTCCTTACAGGAGATGTAAAATAGCCTTATGCAGTCTGTTAAAGCTGGGTTCTGTGGAATGTGTGAAGGTTGGTGAATTTTGTGTTCCTGGGAAGAACAAATATCTCATTCCATGAGGGTCCTTGGGTAAGTCTCCCCCCCCTTTTTCCTGTAGTTATCAGTTTTACCATCTTGTAGGGTGAGCCATCTGGTCTTGGCCAACAGCCTAAATCAGTGAGTTTGACAGAGGCTCTTCTTGGCTGAGAGGGTTCGTCCTCTGGTCAGGGATGTCCTATTACTTGCTGATTGTTCACAGGACATTTGAAATCCAGCAATCAGTAAACAAGTGGTAATTAACTTGGCTCCACAAAGTCTGGGAGCAGGATTCATAGTTTTATGGCTTCCTTGCTGCCTGTTCACGTAAGATTCTACAACTTCTTCTAAGTAAGCCTTTTCGTCATTGTTGGCGATGAGGCCTACCACCACTGTGTTGTCGGTGAACTTCACCAGCTGGAGCTGTGTGTGGCCGTGCAGTCACTGGTGTAGAGGGAGTACAGCAGGGGGCTCAGGACACAGCCCTGAGAAGCTCCAGTGCCAAGGGTGAGCGTGGAGGAGGTGTGGTTTCCCATCCTGACCACCTGGGGGCATCTGGTCATGAAGTCCAGAATCCAGTGGCAGATGGAGGAGTTTAGTCCCAGATCCTGGAGCTTTTTGCAGAGGTGCGAGGGGACGATGGTGTCAAACGCGGTGCTGTAATCCACAAAGAGCATTCGCACATAGTTTCCTTTCCTCTGGTCCAGGTGGGAGAGGGCAGCGTGTAGGGTGTAGTTGATGGCATCATCTGTGGACCTTTTGGACCGGTATGCAAACTGTAATGGGTCTAGGCAGTTGGGGAGGAGGGAGCAGATGTAGTTTCTAGCCAGCTTTTCAAAGCACTTCATCACTATAGAAGCGAGTGCTACAGGACGGTAGTCATTCAGGGAGGCAGGACGGGCGGTTTTGGGGACAGGAATAAAGGTGGGGGACATAAAATATGTGGGGACAACACTCTGGTTGAGGGAGAGGTTAAAAATCGTGGTAAAGACTGGTGCTAGATGGCTAGCACAGACTTTTAGCACACCTCCAAGGATGTTGTCTGGACCGCATGCTTTTCTGGTGTTAACTTTGTGTAGCACCTTCCTCACATCCATTTCTGAAATGACCAGTCTTTCCTCTTCTCCAGCTAGACCTGATGGTTCATACTCACGGTTGTCCTGGTCTGTGCTGGTAACCTCAATCAGTGAGTAGAAGATGTTCCATTCAACTAGGTTACTTGCATGAACTATGTTACTTTCAGTGTCAACTATGTTCTGACTGATTTTTTTGCATTGTAAATAACTAAAATGGTTCTTCTGATATCCTTCAGGGTATATTTTATCACACCGGTTGCAGATTTGCATAGCATCTCTTAAAACTACCAAAATTATCTTAAGACAGATTTATGATAAAAAATGTTCCTGTCCTTAGTGACCATGCTGAGAATAACACATGGATATCTGCAAAAAATATATATAATTCTTAAAATTCCTTTAAAAGAATCACTGTATATATGGGGAATGGAATGACCGTAAACCAGATGAGTGAATAAATAAAATAAGGAAATACTAAGTGACGGGCATTTAAACAGACAGGATAAGGCTACGGGTAAATTTGTTGGAAGCTAGATGGACTAGATGTTCACCTTTTAATGTGATGGTGTAGTGTAGCTAGGTTAGCCAGTCACGCATTTTTAAATGTAAGCAAAAGTGTGCATTCCAGAGTTCTCCAGAACTCA